GCCGAACTGCGCATGCTCGAGCATGCGCAGTTCGGCCGGGAACCGGGATGTGCCGGCACAAGGACGCGCCGGCCGATCCCACGGCCGGCTTGAGGCGCTTCAATCGGAAGAAACACCCAGGTAGGTGGTTCTTTTTGGTGTGGATTTTCGGCCGGGAGGGACGGATCGGAGACGGGCAGGCAACGATTCCCAGATGTTGCCGTGGGATCGTGCCCGTTTGATCCGCCCCCGTTCTGTCTCGCTCCTGGACCAAAACCCCTCGTATGAACAGGGCCAAAGTAAACAGAATAAGAAGCAAAAGGTGGGTGTGGCTGGATGACCACACTTCTGGTAACATGGGGGTGTGGCCTAATATGCTAATGTGCTGTGCTGTCAAGGGTGTGGCCTAATATGCTAATGACAGTCTGCTGTTGGGTGTGGCCTATTATGCGAATGAGTTCCTGCTGGGCTTTTCCTACCAAAAAAGCCCTGCTACCTAGGAAAAGTGTTGGATATCTACTCTGGACTTTGTTTTTTCCTTCTATGGATCCTGTGGACTTTTGTATTTTCCCATGATGGATTATATGTATTGATTCATTTCTGATTACATGTGCATTTCACTTTGTTGAAGTCTCCTTTTGGATATACTTTTGCGGGTAATTCAGCTCACAGTTGTTTCTTGTTGTCCCTTGCTAATTTTTGCTGTGTGCTGTACTGTTTGCTGCATGCAGTAAGAGCATAACTGAATTATACACTCAGAAGTTCTTGATTGCAGCCCTGATTCAGAGGGCAGTCGCAGCATGGGGGAGAAGGGATTAAACCCTCTTGTCACATGGCATCTCATCCAAAATGACACACTAAGCTCTGTCATTAGCCTAGACAGGGAGGAGGGACAGGAAAAGACAAGATGCCCATTTCCCCCTTTACAACTCTAATAACAGCGTGAAGCAGAGGGTCCCTTTTTATTGATGCAACCAGGTGAGGGGGGGGGGTTCAATTTCATGATCATTCTTCTATTCTGTATAAATGGTTTATGTTAAAATAGATCTTTTCTGCATCTCACTCTTTAAAAATCTCAAAAACCACTGCTATCCAGTAATTGAACCTCCTTTTCTGAAATTGTGTAAAAACAAGGACGAGCATAAGAACATAAGAGAAGCCATGTTGGATCAGGCCAGTGGCCCATCCAGTCCAACATTCTGTGTCACACTGTGACCAAAACCCGGGAGCAGATTGTTGTGAATAAATTAGGGCCAGTGTCAATAGCAAGAGCAACCTCTCATATATTATACATAATGATTTATTCATATTTCATAAATATCTTGTTTTTCAGAGAGTCCTTACAATTCACAAAATCCTTAAAATTCACAAATTATGGTTTGAAATGCATTAAGGAGTCACTTAGGGAATTCAAAATTTAAATCCCTGGTTTAAACCCCATTGATTATTTTTAATAGAGAAACTGTGAAAAGGAAGTACCATATAAGTCTAGATAAAAAGTTGTAATAAGCAAGCTTTTGAGTTTCACAGATTTCTTCCTTGAAACACAAAACCCCACATAGTTCTACATTCTCCCTGTCTGAATCCAAATAAAAGTTGGAATTCTAACTAGTATCCTTTTCACCAACACCGCAGTCTCTTATACTACATCAAAATAAAATGAAATGGTTTTATTCTTTTCATCTCCAAGGTTCCATTGCAGATTTTTTTTCATGGTGCTGCTGCTGCTGCTATAGAGTAACAATTATTCTTATTCCTTCATGTAAAAACACCCTGGAAAACATTGCAGGTAAATATGCAGCGCTGACACAGGGCCCATGATGTCAAACCTGGGCCAAAGAGAGCGAGAGAAAGTCAGTCCCACCCGGCACCTTCCTACCTTGACAGAATAGGCCAGAGCTACAAAGCCGAGGCAGCAGAGGTTCATATAGATGGTGTTGAAGACAGACCAGATCATGTAGTCGCGGGGGACCACTGGAGGTCTGATGGTGATGACTGTGGGAGACGGTTCCTGCTTGTGGGAGGTCATAGGCAGGTAGTCTTCACGAGGATAAGAAGTATCCATGGCTCTTGTTGGAGGAGATACACAGCTTCCCAATAGTGGCAGCTTCTGCAAGAGCCAAGAAAGTGCAGCACTTTATATATAGCGCTGAGTTGAACCACAGCTCCAACTCCATCTACATATAAACTGGGGAAATTACAGCTCTACTTTAACTGTGGTTTTCAGGAAGGGCCTTGCCAGGGCTGAGGGGAATATTTGGTTTTCAAGCCTGCCTTCACCCAGGTGGACACAGAGTGCTTTTTATATCTATACGATTGGTTTGGGCTTGCCACCCTACCCAGAGAGCTAGCCAGTAATTCACGCACATGGCTTCAAAGGCAGCCAGGGCAGGGTAAAGTAGCAAGATGTTAGATGTCTAATTGTATAATTTATAAGCACTCTTCAGTAGGAGATGACCAGATAACTTTACAGCCAGCTTATCTCATAGTTGCTTGAATCCCAAGGTTGAAGAATTGTCAGCTAGGTATTTTTCTTCCAGTTTCATGCTCACTACATGCTCCTGGTATTCTCTGTCCCCCCACGAGCTGTTAAATCATCTATCAGCTGAAGATAGTTAGAAGGATGGAGGAGAGACTCTTCACTGCCAGGGCCGGCCCCAGCTTATTTTGCGCCCTAGGCGAGGATCCCTTCTGGCGCCCCCCCCCCCGGTGCGCCCACCAATTTTCAAAAATAAATGCATTTTAGGAAGAATGAAAAACACAAATAATCAAGAAACTCCCAGAGTACGGGGCCAGGTTCAGTTTGGCGCCCCTAAGGGCCATCCCGCTCTAGGTGATCGCCTAGTTCGCCTAGTGAGTGAGCCGGCCCTGTTCACTGCGATACTAGCCACTGACATTCAGGGGGCACTATTACTAGCATAGAACTAGAAAACTCTGTCTGTAGAAGTTACTGGCTCACCCACTATGTGTTCTCAAATTATGTCACCGTGATATTATGATTGTACATCTGACAAGGGCAGATGTGTGTCTCACATGGAAAAGGGAGAGCAACAGTGAGAAATCATTGTATTCTTCAGCTCTCTAAGGAGTCGTAACTTAACCTGAGCTTGAGAACATATAAAGATTTTTGCAATGGATCAGACTGTTGCCCAGCAAGGAGCTTTGTGTGCTCTTATGGACATAAATGGACTGTGTATAGAATGTGCAAAAGGCACTCTGATGTCAGGTGACCAGTTTGTGATGCCAGACATGCGCCAGCAGTAGCCTGAGACGATGTGCCCATGGTTTGTGAGGTCACCCTGATCCCAGATGTATCCTTACACACATGAAACACTCCAAAACAGCCATCTGCCATTGTGGTTTAAATTGCAGACTCCTGACGCCATTAGGGGAGTCCTTCATCACGCAGAAAGGCAACTCCCCCCCCCCCCACAGGCCTTCTCTGCACGGAAGGCACAAAAGACTCTTTACCGCCTTTCGTTTAACAAAGGACTTGGCCTTAATCCTCTCAGGAAATGATACCTGGCGGAGGAAATGAACTTCCATCACAATAGGTGACAGCTGATGAGTCAACCCAGCCCTCGAGGTGTCTCTGTCACAGACTTAGAATTTAATATTGACCAACCCTTTAAGCCCCCCACTCCCATTGCGGATGTGACTTTTGGAATGGACCACCAGGGGTTGTCTCAAGGGAGGTGGCCAGCAAAGCCCTCTCCCAGAGCCCCCCATACAAAAGTGGGCACCCAGCAATGTGCTCTCTCTCTCTCTCTCTCTCTGCCCTCTCTACGCCCTTTCTAGCTGTTTAGCCTTTTAGCTCTTGCTGTCCTGAAACCCGGTCCCTCTCAGACTCTTGGACTGCAGCCAGAGTCTTCCACATGCTTCTGCCAGTTCAGAGCCCGATTCCCATTTCCTATTAGTCTCCCCTATTTTCCCATTTGGACGCATCGTCCCGCCGGACAGGTAACTATTGCCCCCCCAACGATATCCTGCTCATGCAAACGTCTCTTGATTTTTCTGTCTAACTTTCTTAGAAGCTGTGTAATTGTGTTTGTGTGCTTGTGTATTGTTTGCGTGTGATGAATCTACAGTACAGGAATCAGTTTATATTGAAACCAGCCTCCGTGTCTATTTCTGGTGCTTCTGGAAGAAGCGGGACCCCTGTATATAAAGGTGTTTGTTCCCTTATTGCCTATTGCTATTTTATAATATCTCATATTCCTTAATATTGATACTAACCAGGGCTCTTTTTTGTAGAAAAAGCCCAGCAGGAACTCATTAGCATAATAGGCCACACCAACAGCAGAAACTCATTAGCATATTAGGCCACACCCCTGACACCAAAACTCATTTGCATATTAGGCCACACCCCCATGTTACCAGAAGTGTGGTCATCCAGCCACACCCACCTTTTGCTTCTTATTCTGTTTACCTTGTTTGTTGTCAAAACCCAGGGCTTTTTTGTAGCAGGAACTCCTTTGCATGTTAGGCCACACACCCCTAATGTAGCCAATCCTAATGAGTTTCTGCTGTTGGGAGTGGCCTATTATGCTAATGAGTTCCTGCTGGGCGTGGCCAACTTGGGAGCCAGCCGGAACTCCATTCCTGTGCGTTCCTGCCCAAAAATAGCCCTGATACTAACTCAGAGCCATCAGGCTTCTCTCTGCCCCCTAGCATCCACTGTCTGGACTGCCTGGCCCATGATTGCCTCTGCTTAGGTTTCCAGGAGGTCTTGACAGCTGTCATCTGGGGCTCCAACAGTAGTTCACTGACCATCCTGCAATGTGTTTTGTTTCCAAATAAGTCTGCCGATCCACTCTGTGGTAAGGGCTTCTCTTACCTTTCTACCTAAGAAGCCTGGATTATTAGACTTGTCAAACTGCAACCCATAGCACATTTTTTGCTTTTTAACTCTTCCTCTGCAGTGCCTCTTGTTGGGTCCCTCTTGAACTGATATTTCCAGTTGCTCACCCTGTCTCTCACAAACTAATGGAGGAGATGGGAGAAGAGGAAGTGAGCAAAGGACCTATAACTTAAAACAGGCAGGAGACAAGTAACGCAGTGAAATGATGTTGTTTAAATCTCCAGGTTGCAACCTGACAACCCTACCAATCACACAATCATGTGAAAAGTAGAAGGTTCTTGAGGATGTGGCCGTTGCTTCTCTGCAGCCAGGGGGAGGAAGCCTCATTAGGGATCTAGGCACAGAGAACACATATTATCCACGCCATCCTTCGGCATAATTTCTACCAGTCATTCTTTGCTAGCAATTGAGTGCACTGTCTGAAAAGCATTCAGAATAAATAAAAATACTTAGGGCTGTGGTCTTCACAACTTAACTCTAGGCATACGGTGATGGGTCCTCTGATTTTATATTAAAGTGGGATGGGTTTTGAGCAGGTATAATATTTTCCATCCTTTCCTGCCAACCTCTCCCTGCCAAAAATCCTGCTTTTACATAACTCATAATAGTGTAGAAGCGTCTTTTGTATTTACTTGCTTTGACAAGTTTAGAAATGTAGTCAGCTGAAACTTGGTTGTGGAATGATCTGCTGCCATGTCTATACTGTAACAAAACAGAACAATTACTGTGCCAGAACTAGCAATGAATCCAATTAATTATTTACCATATGCATATATATTTACTGGATAAAATGCTGAAACATCTTAGTGTTTAAATTACGATAATACAATATATGTCCATACATATACATAAATGTCCATCCTAACCATAATTAATCATAGAAGTAAGTCCATCTAAAAAAAAATACAAATATAAAGTCCCTTATTTAATCACATTAGTATCCAGAGAACATGAAACAATGTTAGATAGTCCATAGTATTCCAAACTTGTTCAAAGAGTCCTCCCTAAATTAATCAAGACACTGTGGGGGGATGTCTGTTGATCTGCAAGCTTTCAAAGCACCAGCAAAACCAAGTCTCTACGGACGTTCAGTAGCATCCGTTTCCAGTCACCTCTTTTTCAAGAGCTCATAATCCTTTCCTTCGAGTGGTCAGTCTCCACTAATTACAGGACACATTCATAACGGAACGTATTAACCTCCTAATTCACAAGGCCTCATTAGAGTGTTTCTGACACGAAAATTGTTCTGTTCTGTTACACTGCTATTTGCCATGATCCCAGTTTGTTTATTGCCATAGCGATCCTGGCATCTGTGTATTGGTGGCTCACTGGCCTTCAAATGGCCTTTGCCCTATTATCCTATTCGTCTGTCTCATCATTTGTTTGTTTTTTAATTCTTTGAGAAGGTTAACAGGCATTGGCTAAGGCTTATCTGGTAGACACTGTATACTTGGACTTCTAAATAGTTTCTGACTGGGTCCTTCACCATGAGAACACATATTTTTGGAATGGTCCAGAAATGCCATCTTCTCTCTGTCCCCTAGCATCCTTTGTCTGGACAGTTTTGCCCATGATTCCCATCCATCTCAAGTTTAAAAAGCATCCGAAGTGGTTATTAGTCGTCCTCCGACAATACTAGAGAGGAACCCCATTTCTTGTGTTTCGTGAGAAACAGAAGAGACAAGTGGGGACCCGCAAGAGACTTGCGGAGAGGGGGCATCCCCCCACCTTGGCTTCCTCCCCCCCCCAGGGGTCATTTAATAGAAAAAAGAGGTGCAAGAGCTCATTAGCATAACTCATTAGCATATGCCACACCCCTGACTTTCCCCGCTGGCTTGGGGTGGCGGTGGGCAACTCAAGCATGCTCTGCGTGCCCTCCCCCAAAGGAAGCCCACCATCCCAGGAGCATCCCCCCACCTTGGCTTCCTTCCCCCTTCCCCCAGGGGAAACTTTTCCCGCCGGCTTGGGGAGGTGGTGGGCAACTCAAGCATGCTCCACATGCCCTCCCCCCAAGGAAGCCCACCACCTGTCAGCAAGCTGCCATGGTGTTCTGTGTAACTTCTGATTGTACATATGTGATCCCTGTCCCTGCCAGCTGGCCCCTGTGTTTTCTATGCTGTAATGCCAAAGTAAAACAACTGGAGGATGTGAGGGGGAGAGTATGCTTCGCTGTTAGCTTCTTACTTATCAAGCCTGTGAACTGC